TAAGGTTCCCTTTGCTTTTTAAGACTATCTTTTTACTTGGGGCCGGCCCGGTGACGCAGCGCTTAAGTGTGCACCTTCTGCTTCTCAGCGGCCCAGGGTTCACAGTTTCAGATCCTGAGTGTGGACATGGCACCGCTTGGCAAAAGCCATGCTGTGGTAAGCGTCCCACGTATAAAGTAGAGGAAGGTGGGCATGGATGTTAGCTCAAGGCCACTCATCCTCAGCAAAAAGAGGAGGATTGGCAGATGTTAGGGCTAACCTTCCTCAGAAAAAAAGGCTATCTTTTTACAACTAAATCATTTTGTTAGGACTTGCAAGAGATCAAGAAGGAACTATCAAAGACTGGAGAAGAAATGTATGTAGAAGAGTCTAAAGCCAGCAAGAGGCTGACGAAGAGAGTGCAGCAGATGATCGGGCAGATTGACAGCCTGCTCTCGCAGCTGGAGACGGGTCAGAAGGCCGGCAAGCTGGGCCCGGCTGCTGAGGGCTCGCCTGTGGGGTGAGTGTGGGACATGGACCCTCAGGGTCTTTCTGATTCCGAAGCACGTTTCTCAGCTTTGGTGCCCCACTGCCCCTTACCTTTCACCCAACGGTTCCAGCCAGAAACTCAGCCACACCTTATCAGTCTCCACTTCTTGGTGATGGTTTTACTGAAGTAGCTCTCAGAGCCATCTCTTCCCTGCACACGTGTGTGTTCACACACACGTGCATGCACTCACACATGCTCAAACACACTTCGGCTGCTGTCATCTCTCTGGAAGACCACAGTTGTGGCTTAGCTGGGTTCTCCATGTCCACCCTGGCCCACACCTCTCCAGGCTGTCGTCAAGCTGGTCCTTCCAGAATATATGCAGGATCATGGCTTCCCTGTGAACCCATGGCCTCTCCCTGCTCTCTCTTTCCATGGCACTCTCCCCTCCCCGCAGCCTCAGCCACACTTGGCTCCTGTTTCCTCGAATCATCAGGCTCTCTCCTGCCTCCTCCCTCCTCTTGAACCCCCCTACACACAGGCACTCAATAATGACCCCCATATGGGGTCAAGGGCTGCCTCTGCACTGGTGTGTCCCAGATGTCTGAGTATTGCATGAGTAGCTGTCTGGCGAGTGACACAACCAGGCCGTAGTAGCTGACATTGCACGCTCCCATGGGCAAGGCGCTGTGCCCACATCTCCAGGGGGCAGGCAGACTGGCTTCAGAGCCCCTGCTGTCCTCAGATTGGAGGTCCTTCACCCCCAGATGTCCCCTCCTGTGTTGACCTGCTGTGCCTACCTGCGCTCACTTGTCAGAAGTCAGCGCAGCCAGACTCAGTCCCCTGGCCCTGACCACAGCACAGGCAGGCCTGAGGAACAGCACCCAGTAACCATGAGGCTTTTTGTCCTGCTCTCCAGTTTAGAGGCAGGGCTTGTCGGGGACTGCACACGCACGAGACCCTGCGCCGTGTGCGGCTTCCTGTGTTTGTGTCTTGAGTTGGCTGAGCATTCCCAAGGGAAGGGGCGAGGGAGCTTGGAGGGAGGGGTTGCCTGGGTTGGGGCTAACTGTGGGAGCCCCAGTGAGGCTGCAGCTGCAGCCAGCTGTGCCATAAGCAGTTTTCCCCCCTTCTCCCCCCGCCTCCCCCCCCGCAGGGAGACTGTCATCAGCGTCACTGAGCTCATCAGCGCCATGAAGCAGATCAAGCACATTCCTGAAAACAAGCTCATCAGCTTGGCCTCAGCCCTAGATGAAAATAAGGACGGCAAGGTCGACATCGACGACCTTGTCAAGGTGGGTCGCAGCCGAGTCAGGACTGCCTGGCCTGCCCCCATCTTGCTCTGGGGTTGGTGGGGGTCTTACCCAGAGCATTTTCCACATGTGTCTCCACTTGCAAGGCCCCTCCATGGCCTGATTTCAGCCCTCACTCTAAACATTTAGCTTATTTTTCACACGAAGTTAAGAAAAGTGCGGTAAGGGTGTCCCTCTGGAGCATGCCAGCTGCTTTTTGACCGGACTCTTGGCTTCTCCTGGGCTCTAGCAGGGCCCTGGCAGGTCTGGGAAGTACAGTGATCATGGGACAGCTGGGGTGCACAGACCCCCAGGGGAGGAGATGTGCCGGGTGATCCTCAGGGCTGAGCTTTGGGACCCCAGTGGCAAGCTGGTGGGCGTTGGGCCCTGTAAGTCCTGAGAGGTGACCCCAAGGTGCCATTTGGGTCCCTGGGGCCAAGAGCCTGGGCAGCCCAGGAGACTTGGAGCGAGATTCTGCCTTCGTGAGGTCGTCTGTGAACTCTGGTGTTTCTGAGCCGTGTGCCTTCAGAGGTGGTTCTAATGGCTCCCTATGTATCCAACCCATTGGTGATTTTTCAACATTTACCAAGAATATTGGGTAACTTATTTCAGTTTGGTTGAAAAGCAGGGTATTACAAGATGTACATGCTGAGCATTGTCACCTTGCCAGCAGCACAGGCTAGGAGGGCCATGCCCACCTCACCTGTTCCTTCTCTGGGGCCCCTCCTTGGTGTGGATGGCAGCTCGGATGTTTGCACCCCACACACCCCTGCCCGCTGCCCTGGGGGTGCCTCTGTCCAGAGCAGGCCCCCTCCCCAGCCCTGAGCAAGGACCTGGCCCACCTCCGTCGCACTCCTCCTTCCTGCAGCCCTGGGCCCCGTGGGAAGCACACCTGGCATCCTTGCCTGGGTTTGGCTGACCACATGCCTCCTACTCTCCAAGCCCCTCTCTCCGGTGGCTTGCAACCTAGCCTTGGGCCTTGGAGCCCCAGGGTGGGGCTCTTGGGTGGGGAATCTGGTACTCTGAGAACAGGGCAGCTGGAGGACCCAGCCTGGTGGCCATCCCAGCCTAGTGGCTGAGGAGATGGCTCGGAGGAGGAGCCATGTCCTGTCTCCCCTGAATCCCTTGTCTCTTTTCCCGCATAGGTGATCGAGCTGGTAGACAAAGAAGACATTCACATCTCCACCAGCCAGGTGGCCGAGATTGTGGCCTTGCTGGAGAAGGAAGAGAAGTTGGAGGAGAAGGAGAAGGCCAAGGAGAAGGCTGAGAGGGAGGCTGCGGAGGGGAAGAATTAGGGCAGCCCTGCTCTCGGGCACCTTGGTGGCCCTCCCTGTGTCTGCCTCCATCCCACTGCCCTGGCCGCTGCGGTCCTACCGTGAGAGTCATTGCTTTGAGGTGATTCTTAGTGACAAATTTATTTTGTCTGGAATAAATCAGAAACTTCCATAATCAAGTAATTTTTAATTTTCATCATTCCACGAAGATTTCATTTCATCTGGAATCCCTGAGCCCCTCCAGGGAATCGTGTCTGGACTCACTGGCACCCTGCTGCAGTGGCCCCAGTTGTGGTGGCCAAGCAGGCAGCCTGCCGGCGGCCCAGAGATCATGACCACCCACAGGCCCCTTGGCTCCAGAGGCAGCTTGGGCCAGACTGGGGCAGGAAGGTGCCTCCCTGCGTGTGCCAGTCGCCCATGGAGCCCAAGGCCTGCAGATGCGAGTTAGATGGAAACAGACAGCCCTCCTCAGCTCTGGAGAAGACACCTCTGTTAGTCTGTGGACTTGGGTTCCTGAATGTCGGTGTAAATAGGATCAATTCGTGCACATTGCCGATCATCTCTGTCGTGATTGAGAACGTATGTCCGTCTCTCCGTGGCCTCTGGAAAATCGTGGTTCTCTGACAGGAGTGTCTCGTGCAAGTTCCTGTTGTGTGTGTCTCAGAGATCGCTCTTGATTTACCTTTGATTTTCTCCTAATCCTTTAACCAATTAACTCCTACAGAATTTTCACACACAACAGTCTGCCTAACTCGTGAGTCGCAGCTAATGTAAATTAAGCTGAGAAACTAATGAAGCCCTTGGAAGTTAAGCATTTCATATTGAGATATTGAGTAACTTATTGTGTGCTGTTGTGGCTTTTAGAAAGTTTCCTAATTTGGGTTGTTAGCATCTTGTTGCCCTGTGGGTGATTGGGACTGATTTCACTGTGTCCAGTGATGGGCCCGGCCCTGGGGCAGCCCAGCAGGCTCCAGGTACTCTGAGTGTGCATGCCCCTGTCGCGGCTCTGCAGCATCAGGGCCACCACGTCCTCACGACACTGATTCCCTCGGCCCCAGGCTCCTTTGGAACAAGCATGCTGCTGGCTGAGCTCCTGGGGGCTTGCAGAAAGGCAACGCCTGGAGTGGCCTGTGCAGCACATGGCCTGGGTTAGAAGCCTAGGGCTTGCCTGGTGCACCTCTGGGTGCAGTGGCGCACTTCCCTGGGCTCAGTGTCCAGCATCTCAACGCCTGGCAGCTCAGATGGGGTGGCACTCCATGGGGCAGGTGGGGTGGGTGGGGCTGGCTCATGTGGCCTCAGCCCTGTCCGACTCGTCCTTCAAAGGCTGGGTCTGGTTGCTGGCAAGAGTGTTCTTTCAGGGGAATCCAAACATAGGCTTTGGAAGACATAGGAATAGAGTGGCCAGGTTAGCCTGGAGAGGAGGAGTGGGACTCAGAAGCAGTAGCTTCTAAATTACTTGAAACCCTTTACTCAGCCGTTAAAGAAGAAACTTGACAAAATAGGAATAAGATTATATATTCTGAAACGTAAACCTTTGTAAAGTAACAGTTGGGTTCTAAAGGTTTTTTATTTCACTTACTTGAGAAGTCTGTTCTAGATGCTTAATTGGTATTTATGAATTGTCTCGCACTTGCTTTGGGGGCCTGTTCGACTGGGAAGGCGTGCTTGCTTGTGAGCTTTGCGGTTGCCAGTGTGCCCCGCGTGTGATCTTCTTTCTTGTGAGCCGGACTTTGGGGCCCAGGCAGCTGTGCCGGCTCCTGCTCTCACCCTTGCTGCCTCTGCCAGGCGCCCTGGGTGTCCCCACTGCTGCTGTCACGGCAGAGCAGCCGCTCCTGCGGGCAGGCAGTCCCACTGCCCCCCTGCTGGGGAACTGCCCGCTCTCTTCAGTTTGTGTAATGTGGGCTATGTTCTACTACAGGCCTTCCCCCTTCATTTTGGGTTTGTTTTTATTGTCCTGGACTTTATTTATTGCTGCTGAAATGAAGGTCCGGGTGCGGGTGTAACAGACGGTGGGTCTAGAGATGTGAGGGTTTTGTGTGACGAGGTTGTACGAGGCTGTGCTGCATCAGGGCTTGGCCGGCGCGCTCCCTCCCTGTGCGTTCTTGGGGGCACTCCTCTGTTTCCAGAAGCCTGCGGTGTCTACGCCTGCTTCAAAATGAAACAGATTCCTAGCAAGTGTTTCCTCCCTCACTCTACCCAAACATCCATGTTTTTAGTAGGGATTCAGGAAACGGGCATGTGGCTTCCACAGTCATTTTGGAATATCAAAATCCAGACTTTTTAAAAAGGAAGGGCACTTTGTAATTGTTGAGGCATAACCTCCAGGCAGTGGTTCTCACAGTGGAGCTCGGGCTGGCCAGGCACCTCCTAGACCCCATGCCACCAGCTCTGTCTCTATGTATCCTCCAGGGGGCCCGGCTCCCAGCACGCTGCCGCCTGACCCTCTGTCCTGGGCCGGCCATGTGTAAAAACCTTTTTTAGAAAGCATTTTTATTAAAATATCAAGTTATTGTCCTTGTAACAACTCAAAGTAAGATTTCTGAACCATGTGAAACATCAGAAGTCAAGATGGAAAATGTCAGTTGTCTGAGTGTCTGCTTTGTGACAGCTGTGTGGCTCAGTGTCTGGTTCTGGCCTCCCAGTAGAAGCGGGTGGCAAGTGGGCTGTGGGTTGGCATGCTGCCGCGATGCCCAATTCCAGAAGGAGCCTCACCTTCTGGAGCTCAAATGTGGCCTCGGGTGTTCCCCATGTTCTGTGACATTGGGCCCTGCTCTGCCGTCAGACTGTGCACCCAGACTGTTGCCTGTGCTAGTGACTAGACACGCAGTTTGCTGTAAGGGGAAGGGTTAATAAAGCTCTGTCTTGATGACTTGTCTGCCACACATGGTTTGTTTGTCCAGGTTGGTGAGGCAGCCACTGCCTGACCATGCTGTCCTCCCACCACAATCCTCAGGGGACACCTCCGGCCTCGAGGGGTCCCAGGGAGGAGCCAGTAACCCTTACGGAGACTCAGAAAGAAGGGTGCAGTTCTGTTCTGAAAGACTCTGAGGGCCCCGGGGAGTGGGGACAACGCTGCCCAAGGGCTGTGCCCTCCGCTGTCTGAGGGGGTCCCAGAGGAGGCAGGGGCTCTCCCCACGCCGCAGCCTGCTCCCCAACACCTGGGCAAGGTTCAAAGAGTCTGAGGGCTTGTGGGCAGCCCACAGCCCCGACTTGGCCCACCACAGCAGCAAGGCTGCCCCTGTCCTCCCCCGCCCACATCGCTGGCTTCCAGCAGGAGATGCCCTACCCTGGGGTGGAGAGGTAAGGCCCAGCTCGGAGGGTGGGCAGAGAAGCCCTGGAGGGCCACCAGGCAGAGGATCCCAGCAGTAGGACAGGCACAATGTCCTGTTCCTCATCATCCCAGCCCCTCAGTGGACAGACTACCCCACTCTGAACCTAGGATGTCCAGCCTGTCTCAGGTGGCCTCACCCCTGTGCCAGCACCAGGCTCAGTGGGGACTTCTTCCACTCCTGCTGAGTCCAGACACCCTGCCCTGGTGCCACCCTTACCTGCATTCCATCTCTCCCTGAGATTGGCCTTGGCCACTGTCCCCATCTGCCCCACAGGTCCTGAGTGCTCAGACATGACTCCTGAACCATATGGAAGAGATGCTGTTTTTGTGGGTGCAGGTGTGGGCAGGAGGCTGCTGGGCCTCAGCCTTTGCCCTCCCCCTGCCTGGCCCCCAGACCAGCAGCTCTTGTCTGGGTTCATCTTGATGCCCTTGGCAGGCACCCAGACCCCTCAGGCTGTGGACCACATATGTTCACTCTGTGGATCCCTCCTCCAGCGAGGCTGTGGGAGTACGTGGCCAGGAACAGGGTCCATGTGGACCTGCAGGCAGCAAGAGGCCTGAGCTGGACTGCAGAGGATGCCCCAGGACACAAGGCTTGGGCTGCAGCATGTTTCTCGCTTCCACAGTTCCGGAGGCCATGTAAAGGCACCAGGGCTCTGACTGAGGGTGAAGGAAGGGATTGCATGTGGAGGTGGAGCTACCGTCCAGGGGACACAGCAGCCTGAAGGGACACCCCCGGCCAAAGGGAGGACAAAATGAATATCAAAAACTGTGCAGAGAGAATTGATTGTAAACAAAAATCCACACATCCATGGTGATACTCAAAGTCTTGTCTGCCCCTGTTGATGGGAATGATTACACCAGTTTCTTACTGTGAAAATAGGTAATTAAAAGGAAAATTTGATGCTACCCTGTCTTCTCAGGAGGAAAGAAAGTCCATCCCAGGAAGCTCTTTAGGGAGAATTCCAGCTGATGGACCAGAAGAAACACTAGAATCCACCCACCCTGCACTGCAGGCCCTGGGGAATGGCTGCCTGGGGGTTGTGGGGTGACCCCCGGATGGGGAGCTGGCTATGAGGGCCTCTGGCCATGTGCCCCTGGCATTCCCAGCCTCCTCCCCAGTTCCGGCAGCATTCCTGCCCCAGACGCCCAGCCAGGAAAGTGATGACCCCACAGGAGCCACGAGCATGTCCAGAAAGGAAGGCAGAGCCTCCCACAGGACACAGCTGACTCCCTCAAAAACCACAGTCAGCGGGAGGATGGGCAGGGGCTGTTCTAGACTAGACACTAAAGAGAAACAGCCTGATGGGACCCTGATTTAAAACATCTGCCAGGGGCCGCCCCGTGGCCGAGTGGTTAAAGTTCAGTGCACTCCCTTTCAGTGTCTCAGGGTTGGCCGGTTCGGATCCTGGGTGCTGACCTACTCCACTCATCAGCCATGTTGTGGAGGCATCCCACATAGAAAGTAGAAGACTGTTAGCTCAAGGCGAATCTTACTCACAAAAGTAAATAAAACACCTGCCAACTGTGGTGGGGGAGATTGGGGACGTTCCGCTCTGGCTGGATGCACACATCTTTACATGTGTTGACGTGCCCCCTGAAGACCCTGGGACCCAGACCTGGTATTAGTGTATTCGCACCACCGCCTGGGGAAGAGGACGCGGGCGCAGGGTTGGGGTCCAGCCCAGCTGGGTAGGAGGCGGCCGTTGGCAGGTTGGGAACAAGATTCCGAAGGCCCCGCCGGCCAGGAGGCCTGGAAGGATGTGGAGTCACACAAAACAGGTGAGCCACCCAGGCCCCGAGGGGAAGGTAGATGGCCAGATGGGCCTGGATGTCCGAGAAGGCGGGGCTCGGGACACTCCGACGGCGGGCAGGGGTTCCACGGCGCCCTTCTCCCTAAGAACCCTCTGTGGCCCGCCCCGGGCCTGGCCGGACCCCACCGGCTCTGGGGCTCAGAGACGACGAGAGAGGGCTGGCAGGGCTGCGGGAGGAGGTGGGGACAGGCAGGTGAGGGCGGGGAGGCTGCGGGCGACACGGAGTACCGAGCTGCCCATTCCCGCCTGTCGCGCCCCGACCTGCTGGCCCGGGCCCGCCCCTCCCCCGGCTGCCAGTCCCCTCGGAGTCCCGAGCGCACACCCGGAGTCCAGCCGGGTCCGGCAGGAGAGGGACGGGGGCTGCGGCGGGGACGCACCTGGCCGGCGCTAGAGGGCGCCTCTGCCTGCATTCCACCCTCCCGGCCTGGGCACTGCTTCCTCGTTCCCGCGCCAGGTTCCCCGCCAGGCTGTGGCCTTGCCGGCCACCCTCCAGGCCTAGGCCCTCGCTGGCCTCCCTCGCTGTCCTCATCACTGCCGCCGCGTGTCCCCAGCCCGCTGGACACAAACACGGGGTCTCTAGCAGGCTGGTGAGGGTCGGGGATTGGGAGCTTGGTGCACAGTGCCAGGAGAGCTTCCCGGAGTGGGGTTAAGGTATTGGATGGCACCAGTTATTCGGAACTAAAACCCTAGCAGCTTCGTCTGCTCTCCAGCAGGTGCCCTGTTGTGTCCTCCTGTCCTGTTTCCTCACTCCCTCAGGCTGTGAACTCGGGGGCAGAGGGGACGAGATTCTGTCACTTGGTCCTCACTGCCCCAACTAGCCAAGAATCAGCATGCAGCATCTGCCAAGTTACAGGAGTGTTGGAGTGCAGGGGGCACTGACAGAATCCAAGGGAGGGTGCCAGGCCTGGGCGGGGGAGGGCAGCCAGCCAGGAGCAAGAGTGTGGCCAGCATTGTAGACCCTTGGTCTGGCTCAATCAGGGGACCAGGTGGACTTTGCTTACATGCAGCTCTGTGAGGGGACCCACCTAGAAACCTCCCCATCCCCAGCTAACTGGATAGGCAGACGCCAGGGGGTTGGGTGAGGCCTCAGAACCAGCTGCAGGTGCCTGGACATGACCCCACCCAGACTCTGTGAGCTGGGGGCAGCCAGAGACCTCCTTGCACCACCCACCCCCATGATGGTCTCATTGCACCCTCCCATGGACACCACACTGCCTGCATTCCCTGCCTTTGGGGGTGCCAGACCGAGGCAATGAAGACCACTGGTGACCCTGAGATTCCGCCCTGCCAGCATTCGGCCCCCATGCAACTGGACACATCGGACCACCCCCATCCTCACCCTGGCTTTGCCCAGAACTCATCCTATCTGAGCCAGAGACCTGGGCAGGAAATCCTTGGAGCGCACATGGCCCAAGCTGCCAGTCCCAGTCTGGGGGCCACCTGGCAACAGCTGTGATCCCTTCGTCCTGGGGAGGGGCAGACGAGAGAACCTGCCCCAGGCGGGCAGTGAGGACACTGAGCTGCCTGGGGTCCCAGAAGGGCAGGAGACAAGAAAGCATGAAGCAGGGATCTGAGCCAGTTGTCCCTGTTTATTTTTTGGAAAGCACACTCCTGGTTTGGGCCAACACCTTTGGCCCCCACAAGGCTGGGGGCCCTGAGAACAGAGACTGCCCCAAGCCACTGCCTGGCCGGCCAGCTGACAAGCAGAGGACAGCCATCCGAACTTGGTAGGGGGGCCATTAACAGTATGAAAAGTAACAAAAATGAATTCTCAGCTTTCTCTCCCAAGCTTTAAAGGTAGCAGTCCAGGCTATAAAAGTGTAGAAGCATTGCGTAAGAAGTGTTAAATCTACAGCAAATACATCTTGTAAAAACTCAATAAATTATATATATAGATATATATAAACTTGTAACATCTAATAACATCTGAACCTGCATGCAGGACTGGCCCCCACTGGAAACTGCCTC